GTCCTTTCCCTCTGCCAGGAGGGGTTATGTTGACTGGTCCCAGGGTTGCGCGGGAAAGAGTTAGGTTGAATGTTCTCAATCCGAGATCCCAGGCCCAGATCTCTCTGCCAGAAGCAGCCTGGCAGTAGAACCTATGTTTGCTGATTCCGAGAGTGTACGAGGTATGGTTGAGTGTTTTCAGATCCAGAGCTTGGGTTTCTCTGCCAGGGGCCACTGGGTGAGCTAGAGAGGGGGTGCTGTGTCCTGTGGCAGGCTGCCTCTCTGTCCTTCCCCTCTGACCTTCCCCTCCACTACAGCAAGCATATGGTGGCGTTCTCAGGGGAGTGCCAGAAGGGGTTGGGACTTTTCAGTTGGATCCTGAGCCGGGGTTTCTCAGCCAGGGGTCGGGGGGCCACCGGTGTTAGGACTTGGTGGTAGACCTTATTGCACTGGACCTGGGAGAATCTCAGGACGTGTTGAATGACCACAGTTCCAGATCCCGAGCTGAAGTTTGTTTGCTAGGAGCAGCTTGCAGCACTGGAGTTCCAGCACTGTGAAGCTGCCGTGTGCCTCTTTATCCTTCCGCTCCTCTGCGGCAGGGTTATGGCGGCATTCTGGTTCTAGGGGGAGTACCCGAAAAGATTGGGTTTTCTCAGTCCCAATCTCGTTTTTTTTTTTTGGTGGGAGCTGCAGCTCTCGCTGGGGCTGGGGTACAGACAGTGTGGTCTATGGCAGATTCTGTGGGCCTCCTACCTCCTCCGAAGAGGGAATAGGGTTTTGGGTGCCAGGAAGTGCCTGGGATCATCTCTCAGCGTGTCTCCTCCCAGAGAAGTCTGCCTTGACCTGATCCTAGATGGGCTCAGATCATGGTTAGTCTCTTTCTTCTTGGAAGTCGAGATAACTCTGTTCTGGGTTGATCAGCCCCTTCACTCACCAATTTCCGCGTTGGGGGTTCTCTCCCATTCAGCTAAGCTGCACACTAGCCGCCGCTGCCATCTTGGAAGACCTTCGTTCAAAATGTTTTTAAGAAATAAAAACATAGTGTTATTAAATATTACTCTTTTGTAACAGTTATTTCTGAGTAAGGATGTTAGAATATTTAAGCTAGTCAAGAAATATATTTGAGGAGACAACCTTAGGGTTAGGAATGCCAATATATGCAATCAAGCAGTATATGGAATATGGGTATTATATTTTATCTCCTCCCTCTCATATTTATATGTGGAATATATTAACATATATATTACCATTAAAGTAATTTAAAGTTAAACACTAAGCCAAAAAGTACTGTTAAGATTGCTTGAGAACACAGGGCATAGTGTTTTCATTCCATTCTCTGACTCTGTAAAACAACGAAGACTTCGACAGAGAGCTGGGAAAGCCCTTGCTGTACGAGTGTGTGGGCCTGAGTTCAGATCCCCAGTGTGGTAGATTTTGCCTGTAATCCCTGGGCTTCTAGAGCAAAATGAGAGGTAGAGACAAGAGAACCCCTAGAAGCAGCCCAACTAGGGTTGTGTGCGCAGTAGTGAACAACAGACCCTTCTTAGGAGGACTAACACCTAGCAACTGTCCTCTGACCTCTCCATGTACAGGTGTCACTCAGCCATCCTGGGCACTGACACAAGCAAAGATAAAGAGTCAAAAGAGGGTGCATTCTAGCTGTTCTTATAAATGGTAGTGATGTTAATTATTCAGAATGTTTTTAATTAAATTTTTTATATTAATTACAGTTTATTTACTTTGTATCCATGCTGTAGCCCCCTTCTTCTTTCCCTCCCAATTCCACCCTCCCTCTCTCATCTCTTCCCTACCACTCTCTAAGTCCACTGATAGGGGAGGTCCTCCTCCCCTTCCATCTGACCCTAGCCTACCTGGTCTCACCAGGACTGGCTGCAATGTTCTCCTCTGTGGCCTAGCAAAGGTTTCCTCCCTCGGGATGGGGTGGGGGTCGAGGAGAGAGCCACTGAGTTCATGTCAGAGACAGCCCATGTTCACCTTACTGGGGATCCCACTTGCATACTGAGCTGCCACGGGCCACTGAGCATCTGAGCAGGGGTTCTAGGTTATATGGTCCTTGGTTGGAGAGTCAGTCTCAGAAAATACCCCTGTGCCCAAATATATTTGGTCCTTGTGGAGCTCCTGAAAAGAAGGAAATCATGAAATTTGAAGGCAAATGGTGGGATCTAGAAAAGACCATCCTGAGTGAGGTATCCCAGAAGTAGAAAGACACACATGATATATACTCACTTATAAGTAGATACTAGACCTAAAGATAGGATAAACATACTAAAATCTGTACACCTAAAGAAGCTAAAGAAGAAGGAGGACCCAGGGTAAGATGATCAATCCTCACTTAGAAAGATATTCAGAGTGTTTTAAGAGTTTTTGTGTTTAAACATTTAGTGACTAAAATGTGAAATAAATTAGTACACATGGCCCTTTCTTTTGCTGCCTTGCTTATAAAATCAGGAACTTGTAAAATTTAGAGTCACAACATTTTCTACCAAATAAATTTGAAATTTAATTTAATTTGAAAGTAAATTTGAAATTTAATCTCCAAGTGTAAGCAGGGAATTTTGTTGAACAAAATGAATTTGCAATATTGATGTTTTATCAGCTTAAAATTCAGCTGGATGGTTTCTGAAACTGTTTTTCCAACCAAGGACCATGTATGGATATAATCTAGAACCTTTACTCGGACAAAGCTCGTGGTAGCTCAATAACCAATTGGCTTTCCATAGTAAGGGGAACAAGGACTACCTCTGACAGGAACTCAATGGCAGGCTCTTTGACTCCCCACCCCCAAGGGAAGAGCAGTTCTGCTAGGCCACAGAGGAGGACTTCGCAGCCAGCCCTGAAGATACCTGATAAAACAGAGCCAGAGGAAAGGGGAGAAGGTCCTCCCCAATCCATAGACATGGAAAGGGGCAGGGAGAAGCTGAGGGAAGTAGGGTGGGATTGGGAGGGAATAAGGGAGCGGGTACAGCTGAGATACAGAGTTAATAAAATGTAACTAATAATAATGAACAATACAAAAAGCAAAAAAATAAAAAATTCAGCTGGATGACTCTGAGGAACTGTCTTTTGACTCTCTCCATAGCTCAGGGAAATAGTATAAGGTTTTTGTTTTGTTTTTCTTTGCATTGTTTGTTCTGTTTTTCTTTTTAACTTTAATTTTATTTATATATTTAATTTATTACAATTCATTCTCTTTGTATCCCTGCTGCAACCCCCTCCCTCGTCTCGTCCCAGTCCCACCCAATGGATCTCCCTCTTCTCCTCCAATGCTCTTTCCCTAGTCTCCTGATAGGGAAGGATCTCCTCCCCTTCTATCTGACCCTAGCCTATCAGGTCGCATCAGGACTGGTTGCATTGTCTTTCTCTGTGGCCTGGCAAGGCTGCAGCCCCTAGGGGCAGGTGATAAAAGAGCTAACCACTGAGTTCATGTCAGAGACAGCCCCTGTTCCCCTTACTAGGAACCCACTTGGAAACTGAGCAATCAATGAACTTCCACAATGAGCCAAGAAGAATTCATACCCATGCTCCCTGCTGCTCGTAGGGGTCTACTGAATTCCATTGGCCTGATGAGCACATTGCCTCTTTCCCAACCCCAGTGAAATCCAGCAACATGGAAGCATCTATTCATAAACCACAAACCTTCCCTTATTACCACCACTGAGATTAACCCAGCAGAATCAACATGAGACAGAATTATCATTCTGACTTCGTTTCTGGAAACTAAAAGAGACAACATATTTTGCCTTTTAAATATATAGATCCCTGCAATGGGCTGTTTCAGAAATGCTTAAAACTTGACTCTTGCATATTTTCATGGCAAATGGACTGAAGCATTTGATTTTAGGGTACTGTTTATTTTCTGCACAGCGTCAAAGCCCTTGTACTTGCTTATGCCATCCTTAAATGAAAGCAGTAGGTTTTTGTGTGTTTGGATTTTTTTGTATTCAGTCACACATTGCTGAGATGTTTTTTTTTTTTTTTAATCACAAGAGGATAAATGTGGATGCATGAAGGGGTCTCTGAAAATGTCAGATAGGGATGCAAACCCTGAGAAGAAATAAAATTGAAAACCTGGTGCTTATTGACTTCATCTACCTGGATCAGACTCCAGGGAGTCTAATGCCAGGGGTTCAATGTCAGCATATTTAAAACACAGCACTATTTGGAGAAAAGTTGACAGGCAACAATTGATCAAATCAGGTACAACAAGCCTTACAGCGCAACCACACAGATTTACAAAGCACGTGTGACCATGAGGGTGAGGCTTTAAAACTGAAAGGCCTAGAATCTAGTGCGATCTCTGACCAATAGCATCTATTTCCGCAGGCCAAAATGTACATGTGACATCTCCCCTAATGTTGGGCAGAAGTCTAGGGAGAGAAGAGAATGAAAAAAAACATTCTGGGGAATGAAGGTGAGGTCTGCCACACAGAGAGCAAACTGGCCAACAGGTTGTTAGCAACCTTTGCTTTTAGCTTTCTAGACGGAATGAAAGTCAATCACACACATCCCTGTGTGATTAACATTCCATGTTCTCTTAGTGCTTCTCTCTGAGAGTAAGGACCTCTGGGGCCCTAATTCATAAAGGTGTGAAGGATCTCAGAACTCTAAAAAGACTGACTTATGCTGACTGCCTGTTCTCTGTATCAACAACATGGACTATCTAGATGCCAGTGGTCACACATACATGAGAGGTCCCCTATCTTTATCTTGAAATAATCATGTGCACTATAATTCCTTGATACCACAATTCTTTCAATAAGATGAGACTATAGATCTTATACTCAGTCCTACATTTTCTATTACGTTTGCATTTGAGCGCATTGTCTTAAGAAGAGATTACTTCCACATCTTTTTCTTTAAATTCATGAAAACCTCTAAAACCAACAAAGTCTAAGAAAAGATTAAGCATTTTTTCACCTTCTATATGACTGATGGCTTGCATAATACATAAGTGTTCCACGAACAATCAATAAAATAGGTTTTCTGTGTTTATCTTTCAGTTATAAAGAAAATGCCATGAGATTATCAAGAATCCACCATGATCAGCCAGTGAAGCCCCTGGACAGAGCTGTCTTCTGGATTGAGTTTGTCATGCGCCACAAAGGAGCCAAGCACCTTCGTGTGGCAGCGCATGACCTCAGCTGGGTCCAGTACCACTCTCTGGATGTGATTGGATTCTTGCTGGCCTGTGTTGTAACTCTGACATTCATTATCACTAAGTGTTGTTTGTTTACTTATCAGAAATGTTGTGTGACAGAAAAGAAAAAAAAGACGAACAGAAAAAAAGAAAACTAGGTTATTCAAGGTTTGAGAAAATCCTGAGTGACCATTACATTAACTTTAACCAAAAGAAGTTCGCAGTCAATTGCATTAGTCCTATTTTCAAATAGCCTGTTCTTCTCTTTCAGACTAGAAATAAATATAAATATTTAACATGATGATTAACTACTCAGTGTCTCATTCTTCTCTTTTATCTTGCAAGCAGTCTTATTCTCCTCTTACTGTTCTCAGACATAGGAAGTGCTAATTATAAATATATTCTATAGAAATAAAGTGATGAATAACAGTACGTTAAACCCTGGGAAGGCACATAATACAGATGTAATTGATGTAGAGCAGGCACTCATAAGAGTCAATGTCACAGGCCTATCATAGTATCTAAGCACGACCACAGGAATTTGGTGTGTTATGAAAAGCTGCTTTTCTAATAAAAATGAACCTTTCTATTTCTCCAGTATTAGAGCATAAATACTTTTTTTATTTAAAAGAATTTTTTATGCAGCATATTTTGACCATGTTTTCGACTTTCCATTATTCCTCCTAGGTCCTCCCAATCTCACTCCCCATCCAAATTCATTTTCTTTATCTCTCAGAACTACAAAAAAGGAAAAACGACAAACAACTAAAATCAAAAGATATAAAGGAAGAAGCGAAGAAAGATCAGTGAGGCAAAACAAAAAAGACATCAAAACAGAAAACAGAATGTGGACTTTGTTTTCTCTTGGTTAAGTACACCTTGGCATGGGGTGTAGTTGATATGCCCAGTGAACTCTGTTGGAGAAACTGGTTTCACTTTCGCTGAAGGTGTCAGTCACAAACAGCTTTTCTGTTAAGGTGGGATTTTGTTCCCAATTTCCACTGGTGTCAGGAATTGTCTGGTCTGAACATGTACAGGTCTCACAAATACTATCACACTCTCTGGGAGTTCATATCAGTCTCCTGTTGTGTCTGCCTAACACTGTCTCTTTGGAGTCGGCCATCCTCTGGCTCCTACAATCTTTCCTCCTCCTTTTCCATATTGATCCTTGCACATTATAGAGGCGCTTGATAAAGACATCCAGTTTTGCACTGAGTGCAACAAAGTTTCTCTCACTCTACACAATGTCCAGTTTTGAGTATCTGCTTTACTTCCCATCTGCTGAGAGAATAAGTTTTTTTGATATAAGTTGAGTGAGGCATTGACCCAATGGTATCACTCTCGGTGATTAGGAGTCACTTTATTGCTATGTCCCTTTACTAAAATAGTAGAAGTAAGTTTTCTACTGGGCCCATGACCTATCTAGTTTCAAGTTCTTGGCAGTTATCAGTGCCTGGTATTGTATCCATTTCATGGAGTAGACCTTCTATGCAATCAAAGAGTGCTTGGTTATCCTCATAACATGTATGCCACTCTTGAACCAGTATCAATCAGTTCTGTTCCTGGACTAGGAGACTGTGTACATAAGAACCAGCAACATTTTCTCTTCATAATTTGCCTTTGGACATTCTGATTAGGTAAAACTCTCTTCTGGTAAACCTTGAAAGTGCCAACAGGGTATAGTTCCCTGGGTAAAGTATGAGTTTAATTTTGCCTCTCATTCCTTGGGGATTATGCATGCAATATGCTAGTTTTTATCTCACCATCCAGGTCTAACATAAATGTCAACAAACTTCTGTTCTTTTCTTGACAACATTGGCTTAGAAGCCTTAGATGTTGGATCTGACTTCAGTAGACATGATATTTAGTTTACAATGATCAAACAACCTAAACTACTCTCATTTTGTTTCAAAACCATAATGGCATGTCACTAAATTGAATACAGAACACTTTTTTTCCAAAGCCAGTCGCCATAGCTTCCTTTACAGGGTTGTGAGAACATGACTTTTATCTGAGCACTTTGGAGACAGAGATAGAAGGATCTCTCTGAATTTGAAGCCAGCTTAGAGCCACAGCATGAGATCCTGTTTTAAAAAATAATAATAGATATAAAATAAAATTTTACCAAAAATTTTACAGTTTCAGATAAGATGGGTGAATGCTTAAACATTTTTATTAATATTAATATTCATGATTACTTTATTAATATATTCTGTCATATTTAGAAACAGTATCCTTGTTGCTAGTAGCTGAATAATTGAAACATCATTTATGCTTATAGAAAAATTTAAACTAGTTATTTCTTATTTATTGAAATATAAATTTAGTGTAACTTAATTGTTGAAATAACACAAATTTCAGATGTGCCAAATTATTTAAAGTTTTACAAAATTATTCTTTTTCAAATAGGATAAAAAATAAAACTGATTATGATGAGACTATTTGTATCAACTTTTTAAAGAAATAGTTACACAGCAATCATGATGACACATATTTTTAATCTCAGCATTCAGGAGGCTTAAGAAGGCATAGGTTCATAGGTTTGAAGCCAGTCTTGTGCTTATATAACGACACCCAATCTCAAAAGAGAAAAAAAATGAACCCACCTCATATTAAATTTTTTTTTCAAACAAAAGTAACAGTCTCACAAAGGGTCATTAATGACAGTCCTCAAGGCAGTGAGAAGGTCTATAGTTGGCAGTATGTTAAAATCTCTAACAGCTGCTCCCTTGGCTACTACCATGTGATTAATATTATCAAGTTGATCCTCAAACAAGGGCACAGAAACAATAGGAATGCCATGATAGATTGATTCATAGATGCCAATGGTTCCACCAACAGTTATAAAAGCTGTGATTTTTGGATGACCTAAAAGAAAAGATTATAATATTAAAGAGAGATAAGGGTTAAAAAGAAGAAGCTGTTCTCATAAAAAAACAATTTATTATATCCACAAATTTGCAATAAAACTGCCTTGTATTTTTATATCAAGGAGCTCTTGGGTGTACTGGAGAAATAACAGAATGCTATTTGAGAAAAGTAGTATGTTATTCAAGACTTGAAAAATGAAAACAAGATTGCCACATGATAAAATGAAAGGAAGACTGTGGGTAAAAATATACAGTGGAAAAATGTCCACGTGGTTAGTTTTATAGTACCAGGTATTAATTTCCTCCGAAGATCTTAAAAATAGAGAAGAACCCACAATGAACACTTTTATAAAAAA